GACACCTATAGTACCTATCCTTCATGCCTTCTTACTATTAAGGACTAACGTGCCCTGTAGGGAGGAAAGGGATTGATAGTAATGGAGACTGAGAATCCCATTGCTAGCAATATACCCAACCAAGTCGACCTCCTCGCGGTTCCCACTGGAAACTATCATGGTTAATTCCTGATGAATTCATCATGATGGGCTAACTGGCCTGCTTATATTCTCATCTATCACCCTTCACTGGTGCTCCGCCAGCATATCCCGTTAGCGCAGGCGGGGTTACCATACCATTTTCAGCCATCAATAAAAACGTGCCCTGTAATTCCTACACTTTGAACTGATACACTGATGAAAAAAACACGAGTAAGGTAGGTATACTTATTCAGACGACTGATAGTGTCCCGCTGAACCTAAAAGAGTGACTCTGTTTATTGTAATTATAATAGCCGTGTAACTAGAACCTGTCTTGAAGATATTAATACAAAGAATACTGTACTGCAACTTCAATTTGAATAAGATAAAGTCATAGTATATGATAGCAACATTATGCAGAGCATTGTGTCGGGTTGCATAATGCACACGTGGACGATAACATCGTCATCTCGATGCCGTTATACGAATACCTGTTTAACATACTTCCGTGCATTCTATGCCAGCAAGTAGGTAAGTAGGTTTAGGCACGGCGATTTTTTCGAATTACCTTTTTAGTGACCAGCGTCAAATATGTAATTTAAAACCCACCTCTAAATCGTTTAAACCTCCGATTGCAATAAAACACGGAAAGAAAACGCTTTGAATATTCAAGATGCGAGATTAAATGGAAGCTTAATTTTATTTACAAGAGTACTAGTTTTTACCCACTGTTTCGTCCATTTCACCGAGATACAATATTTGACTCGAGATGAAAAGTAGACCATGTTCTTCTTCATTCTAAAAACAATGTGTATGTACATTCAAATACAAATGTTATAATAATTGGTCAAACTGTTAAGGTGCGAAGAGGTCACAAACAAACTCACTTTCATATTTATTATTTAAAAGGTCCCTTAATTCCCTTAAAAAAAAAAAGCATTCATGAGAATCAATTACTTTTAAATAACTTCAACATTTCAGCCGATGCATTTCCCAAACCCAATAGAGTGTCTTAAAATTTAAACTATACAATTAGTATATTAATGTATAAGTAATAAAACTAGGTATTTAAGTACAGAAACTGTAGAATAGTTAATACATTTTAAATGAAAAGAGGTTGATACTCGATACTGCATGGAGGACTCGACATTGTTGCTGCTGACTAGTTAAGTTCACAATTCAACTAAATTTTGTTCTTTTGTAACGAACTGACTATACACTTTAAACAAACAGAGGGTCGATATATTCGTAAACTAAGATATTCCTATGACAAAGATACAGATGGATAGCATTTCTATATAGTATGTGAAGTGTATCTACACGCTGTTTTTTAAGCAATTAAAAAAAGATGTACCTAGGCAACTTAAAAATATCATAATACATATTATTCTAAATGAAATGAAAATTCGATGTTTAAATGAGAAAGATCACGAAATACTGTAACTATCCTTTCAAATAAGTGTTATTATATTGTAAAACAAAAAGTAAAGCTCACATGTAAATAAGACAATAAACAAGAAAATATATAGATGTTGATATCTTGAACATATCTAATCATGATTTCCCTTAAAAGACGTGTGCAAACAATAACAAAATGTATTGTATAGATATACATATATGTTTATATAATGTAGATACCTCAAATTTCTTCTTTAATTTAATTTCTCAAAATTCTTTTAATTGAATCGTTATTTATATTTTCTTTTATTCCTATTTTCGGTTCATTGGTAAAGAACACCGTATGGTTTTAAGCCCACCATTTACACTATCTAAGTGTATTGAAGTTCAATAAACGAATAAATAAAATTACTCTGCCAAGGAATGTTCGATTTCAGTCTACGTATGTCTTAAAATATCGTGACCAATTCTAAATAATATAATCATAAATATTTATTGCAGTGTTTTGACTGCAGTAGGTACTCATTTTAATGGAAACTAGGTTATTACTGAAACAATTGTATCGACAAAACAAGGTCATATAATTACTACAAATATACCAGATGAATTATTAAATAAGGTTCACTATTATTCACCTAATTATTATAGACTTATTATTTTCATTTCGGTTATTACCTTTTAAGAATATTTATACTACATACACTTATTTACTTAAATAACAATATTTCGTATGTGTATAAAAAAACTTCTTATAAACCGTTTTATAAAACACCTAACCTATCTATCACACTGAAATTTTAAAAGGGGGCCCGTATGATAACCGCGAATGTTACTATATACATAATGTCTTCTTATTATTAATAATCGGACTGGAACCTATTAGGTGGATAAATAGAAAAACAAGAAGTACAAAAGACTATCTATGTTATGTATCTACACTTGCAACTAAGTAAATATGAAAGTGTCTTTGTATATGGTTGACATTATTTTTACCTTACATGATTATTTTGAAATTTAGAATCTATCAGTTTTATATATTTCTCTCTTTTCTACCATCGTTCAATATCAACACGTCGCCAAATTGAGGAATAACACCTGAGTCCTCAGGAATGGCAACGCATGGGAGGTATCACGGGCGAAACAGTATACTCTATTATGTCCATAGTACTGCTCATGTCTATAGACGATGGTTACCACTTTCCATCAGGTGGGCCATCAGCTTGTTTGCCATTCTAAGTTGTATAAAAAAAAGGATAAATCGTAAAAAATCCACAACAGGATCTTATTTTCTACGAGTATATCTGTAAAAGTATAAGTCCATAATCCCGATAAACATAGATTTACTAAAATTTTTAATACGTTTTTTATACTTGATATAAATTCAGTAGGTCAGTGTAAACATGTTGACATGTATTTTTTCCGGAATTGACCAAATAAATTTTCTGATGTTGTCATCATAAATATATTGTTTGGTGAGATTGTTCGCCCATTGTAATGGTTCGACGCGCATACGCAGATGATCTCTTACATGATGACATCATCCAATGGATTCTTATTATAAATATAATTTAAACCATACTAGTCTATTTCCAAGAACTGTAAAGCATTATATTAATTTGACTCGGTGTAGTAATTTATAAATTTAGATCTATATTCCCTGTGAAGCCTTTAAACGAAGTAGATTATTAAGAAAATCCATTAGGTCAAACTCAAATACCATTAATAGTAACAGAGTAAATCTACATAAATATCTTGCCTTTAGGTATTGCATCAAATGGTATCAATTCAATTTTATATTAATGTTTAAGGTTGAGAATAGGCTCTGCAATACATACAATGTACTAATATTTATATATTATTATAATTTACTAGATATAATATATATATCGTAATAGGACTATATGACCTGGCATATTTTGCTTATTTGCCACCCAACTTTTTTGTCTGAGTAAAAACAAAATTCACAAAATTTTATTAGAATTGATTGAGCCGTTTCGGAAATCAACGTGAACGAACATCGTGACACGGGATTTGTTAGAGGAATTTATACGAGTAATGACTACATTGTAGAAAATATAACGAAATGTTTGCATCACTATTATAATTATGAATAAAGTTTAAATGTATTGACTACTAGCTATATCCCGCGGCTTTGAATCAGTACGTAAAGTATCCTCCTATGTGTTAAGTCAAGATATAATCTATACCAAATTTTATAATATCAGTAAGATTAAGTCAACGTTATAATAAACTTTATTACCAAATAGATTTAAGACGGTCGATACCAATTACGATAAACTATTTCAGATTAAACTTCTTAGTATGTTCAAAAGGTCAAAGGCTCAGTTCTCATGCCGAGTGACTTTTGCTTTTCGAAACAGTTGTAAGATTAACTGTTTAATAGTAGCAATTGTAACACCTTTTATAGAACAGATAACCTAAATAAAAGGGTTGAATGAAATAAGATAAAGCACAATTATATTATTATTTTTATAACATATAATACGGTAATGTCGTGATAGTCTGAAACATTGTAGGTTTCCAACTTTATTATTTTACTCTGCAATATTTCAAAATAAAGGCATTAAAATCTAAAATAATGGCATACATTACCCTTTGTATACTTCAACTTTGTTTTATACATCTACCTACATACTTACTAACATTATAAATGTCAAAGTTTTGTTGTCGAGAATTTGTTTGTTTGTTACCTCTTAGCACCTTAATGGCTTTACCGATCATTGTAAAAATTAGTATACATGTTTTATATAGGATGGAGGAAGAGATATACTATTTTTTTTATCCCGATCAATGAACATATCCTGGTCACACTTACAAATTCGCGGCTAAAAGCTAATTTACAATAAACGGACACATTTATTTATATGAACGATCAATAAGACATCCACTACAATTACAATTTTTATCCCATGCAAATAGCTGAGGTACAAATATATTGTGTTAATTTAATTACTGGTTACTGTGGCATGCATAAATTATTTCAAAGGTACATATAAAAAGAAAAGAAGTTTTAAATAAATTAAAATAATCATCACAATAAAGAATGATGAATGTTAATTGTGTATATAAGACGTCGAGCTACCTAACCAACATGATAATAAACTATACTTTTTAAATGAGTATAATATTCATTTTATTGCACAGTAATCGTTTGCTCTTTTGCAAAGGGAAGCCATTTATATAATAATACAAAACAGAAAATATACATGTAAACATTTAACACAAAAATATAAAAAAAAAAACAACAGGCGAGTAATTATAATATGTATTAATTAACGGTTTATGAATGAATTAATTAGAAAATGTAAATATCATAAACGTTACATAATTAAAATATAAGATGAACATAATGTACATAGACACTTCAACTATAGTAATGGTGAAAGTGAACAAGATAACATAAAACCACACAGGAAAACTGACATACACATTGACAAGTTACAACAGTACGAGTATCTTACCTTTCGATCCACATAGAACCCAGGAAATGACTGTCCGGTCGCGTGTAAAAAGATAAATTAGTGTTAATAACGTTGATTTTGTGGTACTACTTATGTGGTACTATGTTGACTTGTTTTTGTTTAAATCAATATAATATATTTATGCCATATGTACTTACTACTACTCACTATTTAATTACATATTAATTCGGGTAAAGAGGACCCAAAATATTAGGTACATATTTTTCAATAAATAATAATCATCATTTTGTAGTAAAATAACTTAATATAAAAATAGTTCAGTAAGTACGAGTATTCATATGTATAAAAAAATTTGCTCACAATTGTAGGTAATCTAAAGCTAATAATTAAGATTGTGTATCACAAAAAAAAACTTCAATTGTAGTAAAACCAGTTATTCTGATTTAAAACCTACATTACGAACCGATTTAAATAAAAATTGTATGGAAAAAAAAATATGTAAGATAAAAAGATAATTTCCCAACTTTGTTTACAACCGACGGAGTTATGAGAACAAACATTAAAAAAATACAACTGAAATGCAAATCTCCTTCTTTTTGAAGTCGATTGAAAATAAAACATTAAACCAACAAGGTTTCTTTTTTTTTCTAATGATTGGTCACGCCTACAAAGCTTTTTTTTTCAATTAGAATCAATTGTAACTAATTAGGTAGATATTTATAGTAACTATGAAATGTGAAATAGATAAATTAATGTAATAAATTTGATTAATAAATCCTCACCGACTACACTCGAAACCCGCATCTCGTGATACTTTAGACATCAGCTTAACAATTTTCAAAATCAGTTCCTATTTGATTATTCCTATTTCAAAATCTATATGTCCACATGATCTATAAGAATTATATAGAAAGGAAAATCGTAATCTCAGAATTTACACAATAGTTCAATAATCCCACTAAGAACGAGAACGGACAATCAATATAGTATTCATTTCTAAATTTGTAGAAAAATGAGTGTTTGTATACACAATACTAAGTACCTCAAATATCAGTTGCGTATTATTATCACATCTATGATGCATTGCTACGTTAAAATATACCAATAATTTTGACAATTACAACCATAATCCACGATAACATAGTGAGAGGCACTTGTCGTCTGTTACTATTGTAATAAACGTGCCCACATTTCACCGAATTTCATTTAAGATTGTAAACCTATCGCCATCTCTCTGATTAATTTAACTAGTTAACGATTTCTCCACTGCGAGAGTTCATAAAAATTTTAATTGACATTCAAATTACAGTCAGTTAGATTAAAACTCACGACCTTTTATAAATAGAAATAGCCTGCTACTAGGCTAATTTTCCGGAATATTTACGAAATACGAATACTTATATATTTTCAGAAAGTACAACACCGGTGCTCATGTTATGAAACATTATCAAGCAATCAATCAGGTGATTCCGAGATGTACTAAAAACGTCGCTCATCTTCGTGAGAAGCGGAACGCAACCATTCGCATTTCCGTCCTTATTGTTCGAAGACATCCTGCCTAAGAATAACAACGACACGTACAGTACATTTTTACTGCCTCCGCTTTATTTATCATTAAATTTATGAGTGCATCGTGCACTGCGATGGGTTTGTTACTCTTTTATTTCTGACTGATGAAATGTTTTCATATTATAATTTTTATTATAAGTGAATTATATGGAAAATAATGCAATCACTCTTACCCTTGTAATAATGTGGGTCAAATTACAGGTACCTACCAAATCAGAATTATCAAGGGCATCATACATACATTCAACGACAACGTAGTCGTTGTACAGTATCAGACTATCTATAAGTACTAACAAGATTATGGTGTAATATGATTGATCAATAATACACTTTTTTCAACCCACGCAAATATAGCTAAAGTTGATGACCTCTGCACGATAAACGCTATGTTACTGATACCACCTAGTTTTTCCACACCTACGATAATACTATTTCTTGAAACAAAATAAACTACACCAAACAAAAATAATTCAGTTAAATACTATATTATAATAACATAAACTAGTATTGTAACGATGTTAATTAGATAAATAACTATTAGAATCTATGTCAGACACACTTCAAAGCACAAATAAATGTCTGTCATAAACAAATTAAACCCTCGTACTAAAGTTCATTCGTCTTCATTTCTGAGGTAGAAAGCCCTTCAAGAAGTTGTTTTTGATTTACACTAAGTGCCGCCGCAGTGGAACGATGCGCCCACGCCGCGCGCTTTGTTCTTTGATTACACACTATCAACATCATTTCACTACACTACACCTACAATATTTTTTATGTGAATTCTGTCCTAATTTTTACTAATAAATACTCGTCTTATAAACGTGCTGCATAGTTAAGCCTTAAAAATATGTACATATTCTGCACTCTCTAGATACTTTACACTAATACATATGCACTGCGAGTTTATAATAGATGTCTGTCTGATGATCTGTACTCTAACGTAACTTAATCAAATTTCATGTGGCCACAATTATTGTAATGGTAATATTGTCAATCAAACCACACTACTAAGCAATGTTAAGAAACCCGAACGCATGTATTCACTCTATATGTTCAACATCACTGTCATTGTCTTGTAGTTAGGATTGTTATTTGATTACACATATCAACATCAATTGCTTACTTTCTATTTTTTAATAGTGAGAAAAGCAACTAATATTACAAAAATTATTATAATTAAAAAAATATTACGCCTGTAAATTGATTGAAATACCCATATATACCTTTATTATCTACTATAAAAAATATAAATAATATTACGACCCTAAGAATATATGGTTGCTCTACATTAATTCATTCTAAGTTATGTATTAAAAGCACAAATTATTCCGGAACATTTTAAACACTAAATATGGGGATATAATAATTCCAAACTTAAACAAATACTACAAATTATGAATTATAGTATTTATAATGTACTATCATGATGAAACGTGATTTTAGGTGAAAATCGAAATTCATCCAACAATACTAAAGAATTCTAATGTACGATTCTATCAATGAAATGACTCACTAGATAATAGTGAATTAAAGCAGTTTTACGTCAAAGACATCAAACCAAGATCTTAATTTGGTAACCAAGAAAGCGGAACCACAAAGTAATTCCCACATCGAAAAAAGTAACTAGTAATTTGTTAAAATATAGTCTACCATTTAGAATTATTATAATCGAATGAATAATTACTCATGCATAATACTTATGCTGGTATTTCTATTAAAAATTTATGATTTTTTGTGACGAAAATATACTTCTGAGTGCTTCAAACTATAGTTTATTTTTGTTTGATTTGCTTGAATAAGTACCGCTGTTTTATCTATTTCTACCATAAAGCTGCATTGGATGTAAAGTTGTACTATTTCTGGCATTTGTGCAATTCCTGACTCACGATATGACCTAAACCTTACTCTTCAGGAATGAGGATACATGAGAACATCTGGACAACGTCACGGCTTTGTATATGTGGTATCATGTTTCAGTTGAATTTCAAAAATCCTTTCTTAACGGATGTTTACGGTACAAATTTTTGCTTTTTAAACTTAGTAGTTTTGAGTTTGTATTGATATAGTCAGGACAATACGGATAATCTGTATTTCAAAATTAAATGTTGATATTGTTGTTCGTGTTAAAAAATTGTATCATGCTCGTATCTATTTGAAATCAATAAATATATTACTTGTAAATTTTATTATGGCACAACACACAAAAACTGGTCAAACGTTACGCTCTACTGATATCAAATTGTAATACAATACTAGTCGGATATGTCTAAAACTGATCGAATACTAAGTAGCCCGGTTCATTCATATATATTGCAAAATGAATAATTGGCACACTGCCTGTAATCAGTATAGTGCAGTCAATTTACATACATATATTTTTAGGTATCATAATATCAGCCGCTAACTTTCCGCTGTTAAACATAGGCCTCCACCTATTGAGGACTGTTGGCAATAGTTGACACGCTTGGCTTAATGATCGAAGAATACGTAGCAGCCTCCCTCATTAAACTTTCTAGGTATGTTCATTTAAAATTTTATTCCATGTTAACTTTTATCTAAAAAATACTTTTATTCTTCGAATCTTTTATTTACATCGAAATCAATAATAAAATCAAATTATAAGGAATGGCCAATAGGTCTTCTTACAAAGTATATGATTTTAGTTACAAAAGAATAAGTAAATACAAATGACTATGCTGTCACAAATATTATTTTTTACAAATCTATCTTTTTTAACGCGCCATTTTAGTTACAAAAAGAGATAAATAAGACCGCCTTTTGTAACACTATACGTATTGAAAATTGTTTTAACAAATCCTGTTATGTTGGTGCAATAAAGTGTTAAATAAATAAATAAATAAATACAAGTAAAAGAAAAACGTTTTTAAGAGAAATTATATATAAGTCCTATGGCCGTACCTTTTCAATGATATTCGCTATTCTGGACTAATAATAACCAACTATTGTACAGGCCAAGTAAGGATCCGACTATTCAGCTAGTCCTTGCTTCTTATATATGAAAATCTTGTAAACATATTTAAATGCGAGTTAATAATGCTATACAAATCACAGGAAAAGACCACATTCTGTGTTAAACAACTAGACGAATTTTAATGAAATTTGATACACAGATGGACTTTATCACAGTTAGACTAACACTATACGAGTGTTTTAACTAATTCACGTCAACAAACTTACAGTTACCAGCTAATAGACTTTTTATTTTATATTTACTTACAGCGAGTTCTTCGCTGGTATACGAGGTAAGGGTCCGCCGATCTTGCTGCAGAACACAGTAAAACGGCTCCCAGGATGGTGGCACCCCTACCGCTGCTCCGCCCACGGCACTTGTCGCTACATCTGTTGGCAAAAATGATAACAATAAATTATAATCCCAAAAAGCTTTTTTGCAAAGTATTTATTTTTATAGATAACAATAATGATTTTAAAATACTTTAAGCAATAGACTATGACGTATTTAAAAATTGGCTTTATTAACTATAACAAAATTTTCTGATTCCTCTTTTTTAATCGAAAGGAATTTCTCAACTTTGAAGCCGATGTTGAAACAACTTTAAAAACAGGTTTTTTTTACCCAAGTTCAAAAAATGAGGAAATTATCAATTCGGTTGTATATTTTTTTTCTTTATGTTTGTTACCTCATAACTCCGCCATTTGTAAACCGATTTAGAAAATTCTTTATGTGAAAAGATATAGGTACTCGTACTTTCAGTATAGTTTCATAAAAATTCCAACTCGGTTCAATAGTTTAGGTTTTAAATCAAAACAATTGGCCTTATCACGATTGAAGCCAGTGTCAATTTTTCTATGATAATTTCGACTATTGTAAAATGATTTTGACAATTCTTTTTGCAATCGATAAAACAAATTCTATTCATTTATTTCTGTGTTAGTCTTTTAATAATTTTACATCAATTGAAGTAGCTATTTATTACAGAAAGTCTTTATGTCAGAAAATATCTTGTAACTGTTTTATGAAGTGTTTCTTATACAGTTAACTAAATAATAATAATGACTTTAAAATACTTATAAAAGCAAGTATGTACTGCATGCAATATATAATTTAGCAAACTTTTGTATATGTAATTAATTATGCAGTAAGAGTAAAGTTGATAAAAATCGAAAAGTTTATTTAAAAAAAATATATTATTCTACATACGTAATCTAATTGTACCTAAATCATGTTTTCATTACCTAACTTTAAATTATAAGCCAATACACTTATAACATTACGTTATTGCACTCAAAGTTGTGAAAGGGAGACTTAAGTTTATGTACTTACCACCTACACACAAAAAATCTATTATACACGATAATAAAGTTTAAAGTTCATATTGTAGAACGATTTAAATAAAGTGGCAATATCTAAATGGCCTAAATTTTTATAGTATCTCCAGATACCTCATAAAGGACGTGGAATCAAAATCAGTTCAGACTTGGCGTAACTGATAACGCGTAACATCGATCTCCAAAAAAATATATCTACAGTGGAATTTTACATGCTTCGTTATAATAAATTAAAAAACTACATTTCTATTATATATATATAAATATATAATACTTAAACTATGAATTATTTCTATTCTCTTATTAAAAATACTAACAAATAACATAAAGGAAAAAATTATATGTTCTTACTTATAATTAATCCTTCTTAATTAGTAATTAATAATTATTCTTAATAATGTAAATTCTACCAACCAACTTCAGAAAGAGAATAGGAGATCGAAAAATAATGTAGGTAGCACATGAGTAGAAGCAGCAGAAAAAAATAAAGCATAATTTAAGACTTTGTTCTATAAAAAAAAACACCGACTTCAATAGTGGCAAAATAATTTATTTGGAATTAGAAACTAAACTGAACTGATTTTAATAAAATTTCTATAAAACCAATCTAAAAATATATACTTTCAGATAAATAAATATTTTTCCAAATGGGTTTATAAATGACAGAGTTAAGAGTTAACAAAGCTAAAAAAATATATACTCTAATTGAGAAGCTCCTTCTTTTTTGAAGTCAGCTAAAAATTTAATTATATAGCGATATAAATTCACTTAAATTAAAGGTTTTAAACTAAATTATCAAGATTAAAACCGTAAACGCCAAAATCACAGGCAACGCAACAACGACAGTTATTCAGTAACAGGCGTCGTGAGGACAATGCCAGTAATTGAACCACTTATTGAGCTCATAAAACTCTACGGTACGACGCCGCGTGCTGTTACATGGATTAATGCAGTCCATTTAATCTATTAAACAGTGACTCACGTAATGTCTGCAGAAAAATCCCATATAAAATCACACCTAAAATTTTCTCTGTAGACTTAAATAGATATATTTTAATTTATTTTGAGTGGAATCCACTTCTATCATAAATGAACAATGTTATCCATTGAAGAGGTATTATCTAGTACTCTTTGAATTTTTTTCTATGATCTATTGAAACTATACAGAGCTAAAACAAGAAGTACAATTTTGTTCACGTGCTTAATATAAAAACAATTCATACCAACCCACGGCATATAAAATATTTACAGTAGATAACTTCATATACTTATATGAAACGAACAATACTGCATGTACACACATAAATAAAGGTAGGTATTTTCACTATACAAGCATAAACAGCATTTAGTTGATTTCATATTTTATTTAAGGCTTTAAATTTTATTTTGATAATTGAATTGTCCCCAAAAACTTTTTAAACTTCAAAAGGTAATCGTTTGACATGCACAGATATGTTTATATTTGAATATCAATAATATAATTTTAAATTTAATAAATGAATTTTTAACTATAATCGATATGAAAAAGTTAACAGCCGTATTAGCTTCATACTAATTTTGTTATAATTAAAGTCCATATTTTGTGGACTAACTTCAAGAAAAATTATTAATTTCCACCCAATATTCGCCATTACAAATTGAAATGCTAATCACTAATCTTATAATATGACCAACACTATTTAATAAAAGACGCCTTATTAATCTATTGCTATCATCCAAAGAACACATTGAAGTAAAATTGAAAGGACTTAATTCTAATCTATTATACTATAATAGATTAGAATACAAAATAAATAACTTATAAAAAAATACATTTAAATATAAAAATAGTAACAGATGAACAGTACCAGATAAATTTTACAGTGTATTCCGTGATATCCATAATGCTGTTGACCATTACCACTATCCATTAGGTAGAACATCAAGTTATTTGCCATTTGAAGTTGCATAAAAAACTTATAGGTTGTATGTCAAAACCGCGCACGAACACACGCCAATGTATACAAATTAAATGTTTTTTTACAGTTTTTATTGCATGATACTTTGTATGTATGCTATACGTTGTTTTATGCAAATTAATACGATTTAAAATAAATTTTAAATAAAGTTATACCATTTTAAATAAAGTCTTAAACTTTATGTGCAATATTGTACATTTATATAATCAAGATAGTAGTAGTTAGTAGCTATAGTAATAAACCTCTCTTTTAAAAGACATTAGTATTTCAGTACATTCGTTCCAATATGGACGAATAAAAAGATCCTGAAACCAAACAGCTAGTATATATATTAAAAAAATTGAAATAAATAGCGTTACATCTAACCATGGCCGTTGCTAGGCGGAAATTATATGTTAATAAATATGGATTTTAAAAATCCCATTTTCAAGAGCTTTCAAGTATGTTCATTCGTCCAGCGAATAGCTTTCTGTTTGTTAATATTACAAAAAGCCTACATCAAATCGTGGCTCTCGTAAAACGCCGTGTTTCTAAAATAGCCGCGAGCACCCAGTCACTATCTTTGACTCGGTCACGCACGAGTCCCTAACATCGAGATGTAGCCAGAACACTAGGAACACATCATTTATGGAATATACCACAATACGATAAAGCCAATAAATGTTTATAAGATTTCCATTAGTTAAGAAATATTGTTATTAATTAGTAAATACTGAAAATCGTTAGCATTTTGTGAATTTTGGAATTCATTATTAATAATGAAAACCTATCAAGTCAAACAATAAAATCTGTACAAGATCTGTACCGATACATTTTACCTAGAAAAAATAATACCGTTGATGTAAAGATGTAAACAAAAATATTAACACAGTGTTGGTACATATTGTTAATTGTATACAAATACTAATTGGCCAAGAATAAGTACTCGCTATATAATGTAACAAATGATGTCTTGTATATACATAAATACCTACATACACTTACAGAAAGTTTTATGTTATTGAAATTTTATTTTAATATGAACGGTACAATATTATAATATACCTCTTCATTAGTGTAATAATCCAGATTGCACTAATATTTTATATTATATTATTAACAATATTATGACTTACTCCATTCCACTTTTCTAGTGTTATAATATTAATAACATTTTATGTTCACACCTGGCAAAGGCACACATATATTTTTCAGAATACATTCATATAAATATATCAATAGAAAATTAGTCGATTTATATTTACCAAGTTATTCTAAAATAGGTAGAGGTTTTTATAGATGCCAATTTATTTCAGCAGATTGTACAAATTACATCATTAAATTTCTTATTTCATCTCTATTCATGTTCAACGGTCGATACTGAGCTACCTGTTAATATATTATTCATTTCATAATTGTCATAGCTGTATATATTATTATTATCTTCACTATAATATACAAAATAAATCTATAAAATATAACAACGAGGTAATTAAAAATGAGGAGTTTTGTCTTATAAATATAAATTTTGTATTTAATAAGGCATTTAAAATCTGAAACACTTAAGTAATGTTTTGTTTGGATAACTATGCAATCTTAGATTATATACTCGCAGCTAGAGTCAAAAATAAAATTTAGTAAGCTAAACGTCACTTTGGCTGACAAAATTTTGACACATTTTTTAAAACCAAAACAATACGCAACATTTTTTTTTTGTGTTACATGTGTAATTTCATTAAAAATCTATCCATCTATATAATCTAGGCATACAACAGAGAATACTCGTGAACTCTCTAGTAAAAGTCTTACCAGTTCTACGATAATTAACTATAATTAATTACCGCAGTACAAATATGGCTTTAACGCTTTAATTATAGAGTGGTGATTATGGCTTTATATAGACAAAATAAAACTTACCTACAAATCAATTTCAAGATCAGCAGTCAAATGATAATGCAAGTGGCACCTTGTTAAATCTCGCTAGAGGCGAAGATTTAATGCACCAACAACAGTTTGTAACTGCTCTCCTTAACAAGTCTTACTTGTTTGGGTACAACTTGCCTCGTCTGGTTGATCATTTGTATAATATTAAATATATATGGATATATATGATCA